TAGGGCCTAATTAGAGGAAGTAGGTTGCTGCTGTGTAACAGGTAGGAGCCCTAGCCTCCATGACTTTCCCACCATGATGAACTGTATTCATCTTTTTTATATATATATTTTGTTTTATGTTTAGGAATGTTATGCCTGCATGTACATAAGTGCACACATGTCATGCAATGCCCACGGAGGCCAGAAGGGGGCGTTGGATCCTTTGGAACTGGAATTATGGATGGTTGTTAGCCACCTGATAGGATCTAGGAATTGAACCCATTTTTTTTATAAGAATAGAAATTGTTGGGGCTGGAGAGATGGCTCAGCAGTTAGGAGCACTGACTGCTCTTGCAGAGGACCCGGGTTCGATTCCCAGCACCCACATGGTGGCTACAAACCGTCCTTAACTCCAATTCCAGGGGAATCTGAAGCCCTCTTTTGACGTCCGCGGCATTGCACAATACGAGTGCACTCACATACATGCAGGCAATATACTTGTACACATAAAATAAAAATAATAAAATATTTAAAAAAAAAAAAAGAATAGGAATTGCTCTTAACTGCAGAGCAATCTCTCCAGCCCCTTTGAACTATATTCTTTTAAACCATGGGCCAAAGTAAACCTTTCCTTCCCTGAGTTTCTTCTGTCATTTTTGTCACAGTAATGAGAAAAGTAATATTAAATACCTAAAAGTGAAATTGCTGAGTCAAATGCTATTTCAATATTTAACTTGATACAGAACTACCACGTTGTTTTCCATAGCAGTAATATCAGTATTTACACTTCTATCAGCAATGCCCAAGGTTTCTGATTTCATAAATCTTCACCAACAGTTATTTTTAGTTTTTTATAATAACCACCCTGATGAGTATGAAGTAAAATTTGGTAATTCTTAATATATAGTGAAATATTACCTGTTCATTTGTAAGGATTTGTCTGAGCCAGTTGGTATACCTTAACAAGCTTTACAAATAAGATCTTTATTTAAGAAGGTGATGATATCAGGTCCAGATTTGGGGTTTCTCTTCCCAGTGACATTCTTATTAGCTGGAATAATGATCTCAGTACCTGATACAACACCATGTTGAATTAAAACAAGTGATTTATAAATGCTTTTTTCTTAAAGTTTTGGTTTTTACATAGTCATAGAATGTAGGTATGAACAGTTGAAGTATGAATAATAAATTTTTGTTTTAAGTTATTTAAATCAAATTTTCTAGATTCCTGTAAAAGTATCTTCGATTGCTTTGGCAGGTTACAAGGGAATTTGAAGGTAAATGTGACTGTAAAAATATGATGACCGGGCATGGTGGCAAATGACTTTAGTAATCCTAGCACTCAGGAGGCAGAGGCAGAGACAGGTGGATTTCTGTGAGATTGAAGCCAGCCTGGTCCACATAGTGAGTTCTAGGACAGCTGGGGCTACAGGGAGACTTTGTCTCATAAAACAAAACAAAAAAACAACAACAAAATATGGTTTACATTGCTGGGAAACTGGTTCTGTGGATAAAATGCTAGCCCTATAAGCATGATAACCTGAGTTTGGGTCCCCAGTACCCACGTAAAACCCAGTCCTGGTGGCACATGTCTGTAATTGCAGCACTAGGGACTACAGGGGGTAAACTGGTAAATCCCAGGGGCTCACTGGTGAGCCAGTCTAGCCAAAATGGTAAACTCAGGGTTCACTGAGAGACACTCTCAAAACAAAGTATAAACCAGATGTGGTAGCTTATGCCTTTAATCCCAGCAGAGGCAGATAGATCTCTGTAAGGTCAAGGCCAACCTTGTCTACATTAGTAAATTCCAGGCCAGCTGGGGATACAGGGTGACCCTGTTTCAAAAACAAAAAAGAACATAAGGTAAAGAGCAAAGAGAAAGACACCTTACATTGACTTCTGGCCTCCGCACACACATACATAAGCATACACTACCACAACCCACATACACAGAGACAGACTAACAGACAGTTTGGGGAGGGACAGACACTGTCCTGGTCAGCCTTAATTGTCAACTTGACACAGCCTAAAGTTATCAGAGAGGAGAAGCCTCAGTTGAGGAATTCCCTAAAATAGGTTGGTCTGTGGCTAGATCTGTGGTGTTAATAATCACTTCCTAGATTATTAATTGATGTAGGAGGGTCTCAGCTCACTGTGGCTGAGAGAGTGAGACAGCAAGCAGCATTTCTTTCAGTTCCTGCCCTAACTTCCCTCAGTGATGGACTGACCTAGAAATATAAGCCAAATAAATCCTTTCCTCCCAAGTTGCTTTTGGTCAAAGTATTTTATCACAGCAACAGAGATTAAATTAGAACAGTTACTTACAAGTTCTCAAACTTTCAAATGAAAAATGGTCATGTGGTAATTTTGGTAAAATGCAGATTGTAGTCTGTAGGTTGTGAGGCTTGTCCTTCTGGTCTAACAAACCAGGGAACATACCTCAAGTTCAACAAGTAAAAACTAGAAGTATTAGTGTGGCTGAAACCTCATTAGTAAAAATGTTTATGTCCCCTAAAAGTATATAAAACTAGGTTATATTAGATAATCTGTGTGGAACTTTTAAAATGTGTAAGTTCACTGATTTTTAAAAATTAGACTGAAGTTTTCCAGCTTTGGAATCAACATTTTCAAATCCTCTCCTGAAATGCTTTATGTCTCATTTGTCACAGTGCCTTAAAGTTTTCAGCTTTAAAATTGGAAGATTTACCATCTATATTTTTCATCTAAATATTGATGAGGAGTATCTTTAAATGCCCTTTTCTGTTTTGTTCCTTAGGGAGTGCCTTGGTGAAGCACATGAGCCTTGTGACTGCCAAACATGGAAAAATTGGCTACAAAAAATAACTGAAATGAAGCCAGAAGAACGTAAGAGGAATTTTACATAGCCATGCTACATATTTCCTAGGAGCATTCAAAGGATAGTGTAGACATATTTCCATAAGCTTTATTTAAGAGAGGTTTTCACATCTGTTAATACTAGGCCTAATGTTCAATACAGCCTCTCTAACCTCTCTCCTTTTGGAGATGAGTTTTTGCAAAGAGGAATGATAAACAGATCCCATGCTTGTAATGAGACTGTCTAGCCTAAAGTAAACAGCAAGTAAGGGCCACATTTAGCCCTTTTTCATCCTTGGGTGGGCCGGCCATTTTTTCTGTACTTCACAGGAAGTAATTTTATGGTCTCTAGTAAAGAAAGACTTCTCATTTCCCTGAAAACTTCCAGTGAGGAATAAGATAAGTTAATTTCTTGCAATTACATGGTTCTGGATATACTTAAACATCCTGTCTTATTGTCACTGAAACTCCTCTCTGCTCCCTCTTAGAAAGACTATGAGTTGGTATAGGTAATCCCACTCAATGAGGTGACACTTAGGTTGGATTGAGTACATATGCCTGGTGACACAAGAGGTCTGACTCTCTGAAGGATTCCTTTTTACATGTTTCCCAGTAGCAATTCCCACATTTAAGTATATGAGCTTTGCAGTAATTTCTCATCATTTAAAGTGTTTTACAGCAACTATTTTCTTTCGTGGTAATGTAGTGAGGGTCTTTTTAAGTATTTTAGATAATGGAGTTAGTTTGAAGTGTTGCAAATCACGATCAAGAATTCACTTGGTGAATCTACAGTAGAGCGAAGTACATAATAAAGATACCGGACTTTAGAGAGTACAGAGACTAGAAGAAGCAGTCAGATAATCATAGTCTCTTATAATAACATACAGTTAAGTAAACATGAGATTATAGAAACAAGAGCAACTAACTGGGATTGGGAGGGGGCTTGTCACAGGTATTTGTGTTTTTCCATCTGAAGTGATTCTTAGAGGGACTGATTGACAGCCATGAAACCTTCAGGCTTGTGTTTTGTAAAGGAATTTCTCATTACTCAAGGGCTGATCTCAAGGTCTTAGATCCCTGAGGTTCATTTTTGTCCCTTGAGTTGGAATGTCACTTACTCTTTTTTTTAAATATTTGATTTATTATTTTATGTGTATGAATGTATTGCCTGCATGTATGTAGGTGCACCCCTGTTGTGCAACACCCACAGATGTCAGAAGAGGGCATCAGTTCTATTGGAGCTGGAGCTAGGGACAGTTGTTAGCAACTGTGTGGGTGCTGTGAACCAAACCCAGGTCCTCTGCAAGGGCAAGTATGTATGATTGGTAGTCAGTTTTAGTTGTTATTGTATGGTGTTTCCTAGAAGGATATGAGCAGATGTCTGTTCACCCCAGATAGGGTACCTGTGACAGAGCAAAGAAGCAATTCTATCCAAGTCTTGCTTGAACCAGTGTGTTTACTGGGGTTATTTACAGGAGTGTGGGTAAGGGTTACTTGCAGGAACATGGGCAATTCGAAGGCAGCTGTGTCACTGAAAAGTCCACCCATGTGATGACTCAAAAGAGCTGCATTTTGGGGAGTCTCCTCCCCCAGCAGTTACTACTTCTCATATAACCTTGGTGAGAGAGCCTTGTGAATCTTGTAGCTTTCAGGAACTTCTAGCCTTGCAGATTTCATTTGCTTCCTGAGCTTCATGAGCCTCCTACAGGAAGGAGTGTTTCAGTTAGGAGGAGATAACCCTTACTGTTCCTTACCATTTCAGTGTGGGTCAGTTGCTCCATGGCCACATATGTGTTTCTCCTATGGAAGGAGAGTAAGATTGCCCTGGCTATTGAGAACAGATGATTAGTGAGGCTGTGAAAGAAAATCCCCTTTTGGGGGATTTTTGTTTTGTTTTGCTTTGCTTGTCTTTTTTTCCTGGAATTTACTGTATAGATAGGCTGGCCTTGATCTCATAGTGACCTGCCCACTTCTACCTACTGAGTGCTAGGATTAAAAGCATCCTGTGCCCCCACACCTGGCCCAAAATATTCTTGAACATGATAGTGATCTTATTATGATAAGCAGAGAAAAAGAAGTGTAAGATTAGAAAATGGAATGCATGATGCTTTGGTGACCAGAGATAAGAACGTTGCAAATTCACATTTTACCTTTGAATTGTCCAAAAGAGATTTTGATTCAGAAAATGGAAGGAATGTTGGAAAATAGGATAGAAGCAAGAATGTTTACGTGGGAAGTATTCTACCGAAAAGGAACCAAAGCCAAGATTGCACAGAAAGCCCCAGTTGCTAAGAGAAACCCAGGCCTTTCCTTACTACATTCCAGGATTACTATCTGTGAAATTTAGGGTGAGGCTTAAAGTGCATAGTAACTGGCCAACTCTAACACAATAGAACCCAATCACTAAATATGTAAAAGTAATATTCTGAAGAAGAAAAGTATGATTAAATACTGTCTTAAGTTTCCATATTCCTTTGTATCATCTTACACACACACACAAATAATCACATAGGTGTTTTTGAGACAATTTTTTTGTTGAGTTGTCTAAGCTGTCTTCAAACTCATGATTCTTCAGCTCTAGCCTCCTGAGTACCTAGAATTTCAGTCCACACCACTGGTGCCCAACTCTCATAAGCATTTTTAATCAAATTTGTAAGTTCATGAAAATTTTCTCCCTTATGCCTAGTTTCCCAGTCCTTGAATGGTGAAATTCCAAAGAGTTGCAGTCAAATTGATCCTCTTATGCCTAATCACAGCAAGAAGATGATAGGATCATAAAGAACATGTGTTCAAAGAAATGGATGTGTAGAATAAGTGTATCCAGAGAACTGAAAGTGAAAGCATTTTTCCCAGCATTTCCAGGATTGTTAATTTCTAAATATGAGTTACTTTCATATAATTCTCAAGAATGCAGTTAGAAGCTCGCATTCTCTCTGAGTGGAAGAAATGTCTTATGTTGCACACTACACAGCTGCTTTGTTTCAGTGGCTTTGTGCTTTATTTATTATAACAATGGACAATACAGATCATAAGAATATGCTAAAGCCTCTAAACTAATAATAATTTTGATGCCGAAAAGAGAGGAAAGGCTACTTCTTTTAAACAAAAATTAGATGTTTGAAATGTGAGAGGCACTCAGTGCTTCGATTTGACAGCATTGCCTCTACAAGCTTGACCTTATTAGCTGGGAGTATGCTAAGGTTCTCAAATTTCTGTATCCACCAAATTGCCTATGTTCTCCCCTCAGCCCCCCTCAAATCAACCATCTTCTAGCAGATAGGCACATCTGATCTTCTCATTGCTGCTAATGCTTCTCTTTGCTATGTAGGATTAAAAGCCAGTGTTTTACAGTCCAACAGCAAGATACAAATGTAAGTGGGTAGGCACATGGGGTGTTTGCAGCAAGACAGTCTCACTGTGCCGCTGGGCTCCATGGAAGGACTGCTCACAGTACCCAGCTTCTCTAGTTCACATACAGAGCCACTTTCTAGGGGCCTGTCAGTCCAAGCCTCTGGCCCCATTTCTCTGGGTTATATCTGGGGATTCTGTCCTTAAAACTCAGTCTGGTTTCTCTCATGCTTTGGACAGTACAGCTAAAACTTACCACCAGCTTCTTTTAGAAAGTATCTGCATTTAAAGCTTTGATTAAGATGGGCCACTTACAGTGATATTTAAGTAACTTCTGACATCATTTTCACTAAAGAAAAAGTAGGGCTTCCCAGTGCAGTTAGAGTTAGAAAAGAAAACAGAATTTACTGATCCCTTCCATTTTTAATAGGAAAAAGAACTTTTTAAAATTGTGCCTCTCAGCTGGGTGTGGTAGTGCACACCTTTCATCCCAGCACTGAGGAGGTCGATGCAGGCAGATCTATGTGAGTTCAAGGCCAGTCAGTCTACATAGTGAGTTCCAGACCAGCTGGGGGCTACTGGGAGACCCTGTCTCAGAAAGACCAAAAAAAAAATTGGACCAAAAAAAATTGTGCCTCTAAAACTCTTTAAATTGCGTCATGGCGGGGGTGCTATAAAATGCAATTTTTAGACTCTTTAAAGACCATGGCATTCCTTAAGATTACAAATCTCAAATTATAGTAGGAGTAATTGAATTTAAGAAGTCAGTGTATAAAGTTGGTGGGAGGGAGGTCTGGAGAAATGGATAAGTGGTTAAGAACACTTGCTATTCTTTCAGAGGACCCACGTTTGATTCCCAATACCAACATGGCGACTGACAACCTTGTAACTCCTGTTCCAGGGGATCCCTACAGCTTCTCTGGCCTCTGTGGGCATTGCACACACATGGTTCACATGCAGTCAAAATATATACATAAAAATAAAATATTTTTAAAAAAAATAAAGTTGGTGTGGGGCAGGTACCATTGAGCTGCACATCCCCAGCCCCTAAGAGAAGCTTACCAAGTAAATGGATCAGGTCATGAAGGCCTTTGTATTCTTTGCTAAAGTGAGTTGAGTTTTGTCTTGTAGCCCTTTGTTTGGAGAAGCAAATGGAAGATTTCTGTGTAGGCAGTGTAGCTGAGAGTGGGAGGGCGATAGAGACTGGAAAGTAGGTCAATTTTCTATGATCCTGTTGTCTAAGCAAGAGATGTGGAGGACCCTAGCAAAAGCAATGAAAAGCAGGGCTAGAGAGGAAGCAGGAGGGAAAGAAGTGGAATCAGTGAGGTACAAACAGTGAGTGAGCCAGAATGTGGTAAAGATTGTATTCCTCCTAAATTGAATCTGAACAGTCTAGATAATTTACCACCAGCATCGGGACTATGGAGAAAAAGCAGGTCTGAGTGAAACAACGTTTAGTTTTAGGCATGTCTCATTAGATTCATGTGCCTGCTTACAATGGAAAAAAACCTCCAAAGAATAGCTTTCGCCCACGAAGTTGTGTACTTAATCATTTATTTTTGTTTGTGCTTAATATCCCAAAGTTGTGGGAGTCAGTGAAGCTTATGAGGATGCTGCCAATTGTCTCTGGTTGTTAACTAATTCCAAGCCTTGTGCTAATTGTAAGTCTCCAATACAGAAGAATGAAGGTTGCAATCATATGCAGTGTGCCAAGGTAAGACACTAAGAAATATTTGCATGCTTTTTGGTTAAAGTCTTAATTTAGTTTGTCAATACAGAACGGAAAATGGGGGTGGCTGGAGAGATGGCTCAAGCTGTTAAGAGCACTGGCTTCTCTTGCAGAAGACCAGGGTTCAAATCCCAGCACCCACATGGCAGCTAACAACCGTCTATAACTCCTGTTCCAGGGGATCCAGTGCCACCATCTGTCCTCCAGAGGCACAACACAACATGGGTGCACTTATGCACATGCAGGCATAACAGTCATATACATAAAATAAAAATAAATTTAGAAAAAAATTTTTAAATAACCAGAAAATGGAACTCTGCTAATCATATCAGTCAAATAAATAATTCATTACTTTTGAAAATTAAAATACCAGGAACTGGAGAGATGGCTCAGCAGTTAAGAGCACTGACTGCTCTTGCAGAGGACCCGGGTTCGATTCCCAGCACCCACATGACAGTTAACAACCACCCTAACTTCAGTTCCAGGGGATCTGTCGCCACCCTCTTCTGACCTCCTCAGGCATTGCATGACATGGGCACACTTACACACATGCAGGCAATACATTCATACACGTAAAATAAAATAAAAATAATAAAACAGTTTTTTATAAAGAAATGTAGTTAGGAACCAAAGCAACACAATAGTAGAGTGATCATGAGCAGCTGAGCTTAGCAAAGATACGAAGGGTCGAGCAGATACCTCCTAGGGCCTAGTTTCTCACACAGGCTTCCTGGGTATGTTTTGACTGCC